TTTTAGCTCAACGCCCCGTATCCCTATATTACTCATTTATTTAGAAGTAACTCTTGATCTATGGTCTCAAATGCGCGCTTTAAGTCTAAGAAGACAGCAACTATGTATTTATTTCTGCTCAATTCTTCTTTCCAGCGAGCTAACACTAAGTTTAGTGCAGTTTCACACGAGTGCCTTTTTTTAAAACCAGACTGTTGTGGCATTAATATTTTATTAGTTTCTAAATATTCTATTAGTTGCTTTTTAACTACCGTTTCAAGAATTTTTTCATCACTAGGCAACGTATTAATTGGTCTCATCTCGTCGGCTCTGATTGTGTTCTTGACTTTCTCAATTGGCACAACAATAGATGTTTTCCAGTGATCAGGAACAACACCATATTTTAGACTTTCATTAATTAACTGCGTGTAAAAGTACCCTGTATATGTTATAGAGTCTTTTATGACTCCCTCAGATAATAGTTTTTTTCCTCCAATTTTATTTTTAAAACCATTGACAATTTCAATCACTTCATCGGTTTCGATTTCTATAAGTTTAAAGTTTTGTGTGCAATTTGGAGTCGTAAAGGATTCTTTTTTACCAGGTCCTATATTTGAGGTAATTTCAATAATGCTGTCAATAAAGTAGTTATTAGTGATTGTACAATCTCATTTTCTAAAACTCACTTTACATTTCCTACAATCCAATTTACGTTTTCTAAAATCCAATTTACGTTTTCTTAAATCCAGTTGACTATTCCAAAATCCAATTTACGCTTTCAGAATTCCAGTTTAATATTCTAAAATACCTTTTACTTTTCCAAAATTCCATTATTATAATTTAATTTGCTATTTGTGTTTTTTTTTTTTTTTTTTTTGTAGGAGAGGGAAATGCTTTATGCACTGGCCGGGGGCGCTAGTCTCTATACTACCTTCCCCGAGTGTGGGACTCCCACCGAAGCGTGTTGGGCTACCCACTAAAACCCAAACTCCCACCGCCCGCGCAAGAATCCCGCATCTGGCACCGCAATTCTGCATGTCTTCAGATGCAGGAGCGCGCTGTTAGAGCCTTGGGGCTGCTCTTTTGTAGGGGCGTTTCATTCGGGTGTCCTCAGTAGACAACCGTCCTCTCGTTTGCAGCGGAGTACGAATTTCACGTATCTCGCAACTGCTTCCCACTTTTCTGCGCTGGAAATCATGATCCCAACTATGTTGTCCGGAGTAATGTCTCCGTGTCTTTCTTCCAACATTCCAAATCCAATTTACGCTTTCTAAAATCCAGTTGACTATTCTGAAATCCAATTGACTCTTTCTAACATCCAATTGACTCTTTCTAAAATCCAACTGGAAATGGTGTAGTAATAATAAAGATTTCAATAACAAAACACAGTTAATTGCGTTTGATGAAATTTTTGTTAATTGCTTGCCAATCGAAATTATAATGGCACGCCATGGCGGGTCAGCGTGGGGAAAACTCATCTGTCAAGAGCGAAACATATAAATATGTAGTATTATCTTTCTCACACATAAAACACTTAATAAAAACGCGATGTGGACGTGCACTTTGAAATTTATTAAATTTTCGACACAATTATTTCAGAAATTTTTATTATTGGTTCTAAACCTAACAACGCAGCACAAAGTATCCGAAAATATGCATTTACTGCAAAATATGCTGAAATATGCATTTATTGCAAAATATGCTAGAATATGCTCTAAGAAATATATCTCATACTTCATATTTTTTGGAAAAACGTTTAAGCATTTCATCAGCGTGTTCCTAAAATGCCTAACAAAAAACATGCCTGAACATATTTTGGGTTGCCCTACTTATCAGCAATGTACCTAATAAAACCCCAAATTCCGAGTCACATAGAAAAGCGCGGAGAAAAACAACAAGCTGCGTGCATTTTGTTTTTGCTTTTAGGCTATTAAATGTCAAAATAGCTCCTCTGTTGCTACTTGTCCGATGGTTCTAGCCAAATGCACACAATAACAGGACTATATAATATAAATATATTTCAGACCGAATTTATTGGTAAAAGAAGTTGGGAGTTGGAGATTATAAAATTAATCAATTTCTCACAAGCTTTTCATTAATCACTTAAAATTAATTTAGTGCCGTTTTTTCAAGTAGTTTTTAAAATTTATTTGCCCTTCAAACACATTTTTCCAGAACAAAACTTGTGTTTAAAAGGCAGATAAATTTTAAAAGCTACTGCCCTGGGGGGAGATTCTGTAACTAGTTAGCGACAATTTTCGGATCGGTATCGCTTTTTACAGTATCGCTGGTTACAGAATCTCCCCCCCTGAGATAGTTTTTCAATAGCTTTTTTTTAAACATAGTTTTAACATTTTATATTTTCAGTCAATTTTCCAATATTGTTTGTTCAAGCATTGCAAGAACAACAATTTGTTTAAACGCTTTCCCTTTAGTCTATTCCGTTGCTGATTTAAAACTTGAGCCGCCTTAGAAAATAGCCTTTCAGAGGGCACCGAACTGCCAACCTTCGTAAGATATTTATAAGCCGCTTTGTATAATATGGGAAACTGAAGTTTGATATCTTTCCAAATATCGAGCGGGTTATCGTTCAGTCGACAAACTGGGCTTCTTAAGTAGACTGAAAGTTGATCCGACAGATTTTCGTCCATTTTGTTTGACTTCCAGTTGTTGTGCACGAGCCTTTGGTGGTCGCTCCAAAGAGAAAAAACTGTTTTCGCTTCTGTCAGAGATACTAGAATCTGAGTCTGTAAAATCTTCACCTTGTGCTAGATCTTTCACCATCAATTTTATTTTGTTTACGGCAGTAGAGCAAGCCAAAGGATCAGAAAAGTGAATTTTCTTAAAACGTGGATCCAAGATGGTAGCGATTGCAAGGGGAGTTACCTATAAAACAAATTAATATTAAGAAGAGTTACAGTTGAAAAAAATAAGGCTAAATCAAAATTACCATTTCAAGAGCTCCCATTCGTTTGGAGATTTCCTTTAAAAGATGTTGTTGAATTTCTTTGACTAGAAGGTCATTAGTGGAAAACGACTTAATTTTTTGAACCAAGCACGAAACCATAGGAATTATTTTACTTGCGGTGCAGTACTGATCGCCAGATATTTCTTTTGTGGCTGCTTCCAAAGGACGAAGGAGCTGGATAATGCCAGAAGCTGAAGACAATAGCGGGAGCCGTGTTGCAACGTAGGAGAATTTCACCAATAGTGCTCTTAATAGACAGAAAACGTTGAATCATATAAAATGTACTATTCCAGCGCGTTGGCACACTTTGAATAAGCTTTGTTTCATCACTTGTTGCTTTACGTAATTTGTCGTTAGCAGTGCAGCTCTGTTTGAAGTAGGTGACTATCTCTTTAATTTTTTTAACTATTATGTTTGCTGGCGTATATTGAATCGCGGATTCAGCCACTAGATTCAAGGTATGGGCAAAACAGGGTATGTGCCTTTTCTTTCCAAATGCAAGATCTATAGCCTTCACCATGTTTGCCGCGTTGTCAGTTGTTACAGCTGACACCTTATCGGTTTCCACTTTCCACTCTACACACGCTTTTAGAAGCTTTTCGGCAATATATTCAGATTTGTGCCGCTCATCTTACTCATACACTCCTAGTGTCACTGAATGGAACTGCACATCAACACCAAAATGCGCCGTGATTCCTAGAAAACTCTTCTTGTGCATCGCTTCTGACCATATATCCATTGTAAGCGTCACATTTTCAACAAGAGCTATTTTATCGCGAAAAATGAAAGCCAACTCATCATATTTGGCATCGACCCACTTTGTTAATGTTGATCTACCTGCAGAAAAATTGTTAGATTAGTATGTATATTTTTATAAAATTAATTATTTAGCTCACATGGAATTTTATAGCGCGGTGCGACTATCTTCAGTAAGTGACGAAATCCCTCGTTTTCGACGATAGAAAATGGTTGGTAGTATTTGCAAATCATGTACATAAGAGCTTCATTTACTCGTAAAGTTTTTTCACCACTTGAAGAGAAAGCGTTGGCATTATCAAAACTGGAAACAATAGATGGCTGTTGCGAATGTACATCCGTTGACTGAGGTCGTGAAGACGTCGAATAAAATGGCGTACCCGATGATGCACCTGTCGATGGCGATTTTGGAGTTCGGACTGACTTCGCTGCGGTTTCAGTCATTTTTTGTGAATCGCCTAAAACTTCTTTTTCAACAGTTTTCTTCTCACTATTTTGGTTTTTAGTTATAGCATGATATGTATCCTTGTGAACATTTCTAATATGGCACATTAAATTCGACGTGTTACCCGCCGTTTTAATAACTTTTTTGCAAAGTTTGCAGATCGCATTGCCTTCACTCGCTTTCTCAAAGAAAAAAAGAATCTTATATGCTAATCTAGGCAAAGAGCTAACTACGTACCAAATTTTAAGCAAATCGGACCATAACTACGATTTTTTAGAATAGATCGGTCCCTGGTCCACTTCCCGGAAAAAAGCTTCCTATGTGCTAATCTAGGCAAAAAGCTACCTATGTACCAAATTTTAAGCAAATCGGACCATAAATACGATTTTTTCGAATAGATCAGTCCCTGGTCCACTTCCCGGAAAAGGATCTCATATCCTAACATAGGCAAAAAGCTACCTACATACCAAATTTTAAGCAAATCGGACCATAACTACGATTTTTTCGAATAGATCTGTCCCTGGTCCACCGGAGGGATTTCCCAAAATTTTGTTTCGTAAAAACCTTTTCCTGGCAATTACGAACAACTGAAAAAAAAAATTAGCCAAATCGGCCCAACCGTTCTCAATTGTTGAATTACTATCCATTTTTCACACCATTTTTATATATCGAGCCATAACCGCCAAAATAACGTAAGCGACATTTTTTTCAAAATTCTCTTTTTGATGCAGAAATATTCCTAGAGCATCTAGATGCATTTCTGCATCAAAAATAAAATTTTGAAAAAAATGTCGCTTACGTTATTTTGGCGGTTAGGGCTCGATATATAGATGTAGTTTTGTGGCACCATATATGTAATACTTCTATATTGGCAGTATCTACAAGTGCAGTCAGCAAACATTACAGTACAGATATATAAAAAAAGAAAAAGAAAACCGAGTAATCGCATTTAAGAAATGACACTTGAATTCAAAATAAATCGCAGAGGCGGAACGTTAAAAAAAAATAAAAAAAAAATTTTGTGTTTTCATTAAATTTTAAGAATTTTTCAATAAGTTAAACTGCAAAAATGTCGCACAGCTGCTTTTTATGTGAAAAAAGAAGAGATAAATTAAATAATATAGCTTTACATGGGTGCGTTGCAAAAGTTTCTATCAAAAACATCTTTAACAGCTTTGTTTTATACAGATTTCCAAAAGACGTAACTGTTTGCAAACAATGGATGCAGGCATGCGGCCTGATGCCCAACGAAGTTGTTAAAAATGTCCGAATCTGCAGCAACCATTTCAAACCAAACGATTACAAGACAAAGAACAATGAGGTTGGCAGAAAATGTTTGAAAAGAAATGCGATTCCTTCGATGCATGCTACAATTGCAAGCATACAAAACGTGCCGGCCACTGGTAAATTTAAAGAATTGTTCTGCTACAGCTATACATATTCATTTCAACAATTTTTTTAGAAGGGCGAGAAAGTAAAAGTTCGGACATTACAGAAACCTCGCCTGTAAACAGAAGGCACTTTGCTGAACCTCGTTTTGTTTCAGAAATTCGTACTCCTGACGTTTCCACCCCAAAACGTGCCAGCCGCATTATATCGTTCGTTAAACGGTCTTTCGATAAGAAAATTAAAATAATCAAAACGCTTCGTAACAAAAAAAAATTATTTAAAAAAACGAGTTACTTGTCTGGGAGAATTGCTTGGACATTTGCGAGAAAAAAACTTAATAGATGCGGAAACGGAAGAAATGATGGTAAACTTATTTTAAGTGTTACATAAAATATACAGGGTTTCCTAGACCACCTGTCCACCGCCTCTGAAATGGAGGGGAATGGTTTTGATTGAAAACCGCAAAAATTTGACCTCCTAAATCAGGGACGAGGTGAAGTTCGAAAGTCATTTAGAGGTTGAAAAAGGCACTTCCGAGAAAAAATATTCAAACGAAAGTTACGTATTTTTAAGCTTAGAATCCGAATCTGTAGTAAAATCATGTCTGTCTAATTTGAAAAAATGAACTTCCGGTCGAAACCGGAAGTCGGTAATACCACGAACAGATAGAGCATTCCCCTCCATTTCAGAAGGGGTGGACGGATGGTCTAGGGCACCCTGTATAACTAATATTTTCACTTGTTCAATACATATATGTACATATGTACTTGTAGGATTTAATTCCCGAAAATGTAAAAGCGATGGTGGCACGAAAGTTAAAAGGATCGAAATGGTACACGAAGGAAATAAGAAGTTTTGCTCTTACGCTTCATTTCTACTCGCCAAAAGCATATCGGTATATTCGCGAAACGTGGAGGAATATGCTACCACACCCTTCAACGCTTCGCAAATGGTATCAAAATATTAATGGCTCTCCGGGATTCACACAACAAGCACTGGATGCTATCGCTCTGCGCGCGAAAGGACCAAAGCCAGTAATAGTAAATCTCGTATTTGATGAGATGGCTATTAGATAGCAAAAAATATACAACCGGAAAGGCTTTGAAGGATGTGTAGACTTAGGTACGATGGACTGCCATACAGAGTGTGACTCGGCTGCTGTGGCGAATAACGCGCTTGTAATATTGACAGTCTCCTTAAACGAGCATTGGAAAGTTCCAATCGGCTATTTTTTGATCCGGTCACTACGTGGTGAAGAACGTGCTAATTTGCTGAAGGAATCTTTATATATGTTAAACAGCGTTGGTGCGAATGTTTACTCAATTACATTTGACGGTGCAACCACAAATTTATCTATGTGTAAATGCTTAGGAGTAAACTTCAACTACGGTCCATCATTTAAACCATATTTTGTTAATCCAGCAACTAAAGAATTGTGCTACATTTTCATTGACTTCTGTCATATGATAAAGTTGGTGAGAAATTGTTTTGGTGATATCTTCTTCTTCTTTTTTGGCGCTGTAACCGCCTAAGCGATTTTGGCCGAGTTCAGCAAAGCACGCCAGTCGTTTCTCCTCTGTGCCAACTGACGCCAATTGGAAACGCCAAGTGAAGCCAAGTCCTTCTCCACCTGATCTTTCCATCGCAGTGGGGGCCTCCCTCTTCCTCTGCTACCACCAGCGGGTTCCGAGTTGAATACTTTCAGAGCTGGAGCGTCGGTGTCCATTCGAACGACATGGCCAAGCCAGCGGAGCCGCTGTATTTTAATTCGCTGCACTATGTCCATATCGTTGTAAAGCTCATACAGCTCATCGTTCCATCGTCTGCGGTACTCGCCGTCGCCAACGCGTAAAGGCCCGTAAATCTTCCGCAAAATCTTTCTCTCAAACACCCCAAGAGCCGCCTCATCGGATGTTGTCATTGTCCATGCTTCTGCGCCATATACCAGCACGGGCATGATGAGTGACTTATAGAGCGTGGTTTTCGTACGTCGAGAGAGGACTTTACTCCTGAATTGCCTACTCAGTCCAAAGTAGCACTTGTTGGCAAGAGTGATTCTACGTTGGATTTCAATGCTGACATTATTATCGGTGTTAATGCTGGTTCCCAAGTAAACGAAATTCTCTACTTTCTCGAAATTGTAACTGTCAACAGTGACGTGGGTGCCAAGGCGCGAATGTGCTGACTGTTTGTTTGATGACAGGAGATACTTCGTCTTGTCCTCGTTTACCACCAGACCCATGCGCTTTGCTTCCCTATCCAACTTGGAAAAGGCAGAACAGACTTCGCGGTTTTTGTTACCGATGATGTCGATGTCATCGGCATAAGCCAGCAATTGCACGCTCTTGTAGTAAATTGTTCCTGAGCGGTTCAGTTCTGCAGCTCTTATTATCTTCTCCAACATCAGATTAAAGAAGTCACATGAAAGGGAGTCGCCCTGTCTGAAACCCCGTTTTGTGGCGAACGGCTCGGAGAGGTCTTTTCCAATTCTGACGGAGCTGGTGGTATTGCTCAACGTCATTTTACACAGCCGTATGAGTTTTGAGGGGATGCCAAATTCAGACATAGCGGCGTATAGGCAACTCCTTTTAGTGCTGTCAAAAGCGGCTTTAAAGTCGACAAATAGGTGGTGAGTGTCGATCCTTTTCTCGCGGGTCTTTTCCAAGATTTGGCGTATTGTGAATACCTGGTCTATGGTGGATTTGCCAGGTCTAAAGCCACACTGATAAGGCCCAATCAGTTCATTGACGGTGGGCTTCAGTCTTTCGCACAATACGCTCGATAAGACCTTGTAACCTATGCTTAGAAGGCTGATCCCGCGGTAGTTGGCGCGAATGGCGGGGTCACCTTTCTTGTGGATTGGGCAGAGCACACTTAAATTCCAGTCGTCGGGCATGCGTTCATCTGACCATATTCTGCACAAGAGTTGATGCATGCACCTTATCAACTCCTCGCCGCCGTACTTGAATAGCTCAGCTGGCAGGCTGTCAGCTCCAGCGGCTTTGTTGTTTTTCAGCCGCGTTATTGCTATACGTACCTCGTCATAGTCAGGCGGTGGAACGTCGACTCCGTCATCATCGACTGCGGGCTCGGGTTCTTCTTCTCCACAACTTTCTGTGCTGCTGCCATTTAGTAGGGCGGAAAAGTGTTCCCTCCATAATTTAAGTACGCTCTGGACATCAGTTACTAGGTCGCCATTATTGTTCTTACAGGAGTGCGCCCCGGTCTTTAAACCTTCCGTAAGTCGCCTAACTCTCTGGTAAAATTTTCGGGCATTCCTCCTGTCGGCCAGCATTTCAAGCTCTTCGCACTCACGTATTTCTGCCTCTCTCTTCTTGTTGCGGCAAATACGTCTCGCTTCCCTCTTCAGATCCCTATAGCGGTCCCACATAGCGCGCGTTGCGCCCGATCGCAGCGTGGCCCTGTAGGCGGCATCTTTTTTCTCTGGTGATATGCAATTACTAAAAACCAATTCGAATGAAATTATACGTTGGCAATATTTGTCTGACTTATATGCACTACAAACAAGCGAGGGACTGCGTTTATCCACAAAATTAACCAAAAAGCATATATACTATAAAAACAGCATTATGAACGTAAAACTCGCCGTTCAAACGTTAAGTAAAAGTGTTGCTGACTCTTTAATATTTTTAGAACGTAAAATAAAAGACCGAACAATTTACGAACGATTTCGAGATAGTTCTGCTACCGCTAAGTTTTGTTTAAATTTCAATAACATGGGCGATATACTAAACTGTAAAAATCAGTTCTCTAAGCAGGAATTTAAGAGGCCGTTGACCAACGCGTCATATTCTGACTTAAAGTCTTATGCAGAAGAGTTCGAAAAATACGTGTGTTCATTGTATGCTGCGAATGATGTTCTTTTAATTCAATCTGGACGTAAAACAGGCTTTCTAGGAATCATTATTGCTTTGCGGAATATATTTCCTTTATTTGATAAACTCAAGAGTTTTGGTATGACATACCTTTTAACATATAAACTTTCCCAAGATTTTTTAGAAACTTTTTTTGGCGCAATTAGGGCAAGAGGAGGTTTTAACAATAATCCAAACGCAGTACAGTTTATGAGTGCATACAGACGTTTGTTAGTTAGGCACGAATTAAGTGCGATTGAAAATGGAAACTGCACTTTCGATGGCGTATCCATTCTTGAAGTGTCATCTGCATCTACCAGTAAGGCCGGCAATAACGAGACATCAGATTTAGAACAAGCACACATATTCATTGATACAATGTGGGGATTGTCTATCTATGTTGACAATGTTGTTCGTTATATCGCTGGATTTGTGGCATGGAAAGTCCAAAATAAAATAATATGTCCAACTTGTCAAGACCAACTTATAGGGAATGAAATGCCTTCCCTCTCAGAACACAAAAATATGGGACCGTTTATCGCACCGTCTAGAGATGTCTGCAACATTTGTATAATTTCAGAAAAAATTTTGAGACAATTACTAAACAAATGCCCGGTTAGAACTGCAAAATTAGTTTTAATGAATAAAATTTTCCATAGTTTAGGCACAGTCTTTTCAAATAAAATAATGGACGACCACATAACAATTGAAGCTTTATTTAGCAATGAAGTACTAAACAATCACCGCACTAAATTAATTAAAATAGTTATAAGCTTTTATCTTGATGTTCGTTTGTTTTTTGAGAGCAAAAAATCAGCAGATCAGAAAGATTACATTAGAAATAAATTCACAAAATTAATACTGTTTCGCAACCAATAAGTGGCATAGCCAAGAACTAATTTAAGAAATTTGTTAATAAGTTACTTCCCAAGGTTTTTCATTTGGTATTTTTCGTAAATTTTAATTATTTAAACAAACTATATAAATCCGATTTCCAAACTTTGTGCGAAAACTAAAAAGCTAAACAAAGTTTCATTAGAATTGCAAACTCTTTAATTAAAATTTCTAGAAAATATTTTGGTATGCAGATCATTTCTAGAAATGAAACTTTGTGGTATTTCTTTAATTTTTGCACAAAGTTTGAAATAATGACCTCACTTTTATAAAAAAACATAAGCGAAAAAATTTTAAATGAAAAACAATGGGAATATTATATAAAGATTTACACAATTTTAAGTGTGAGTCACTATACTTATTTATTCCTTTTTACCTAAATAGTCAGTAAATTTGTACTCAGTGAGAGAATGGAAGTATGCATATGTTTGAATTATACATTCTAAAATAATAAATTGCTAATCATTAAAAAAAATTTCAAATCCTTTTTTTATTTCCAGGTAGCTTTAAAATAAAATCTTAATACTTCATCATAAAGTTTCAGTTTGCATAAGTAAACATCGTCAACAAAGGGGCATAACCACCCCACAGTAAAACGATCCCCTTCAAATTTATTTTCTAACGCTACTGATGATACGTCAAATTTGCTTGAATGTATTTGTCACATATATTCACAGATACTAATACATGGAAAACTTGCGCATGCGCAAAACGTACATTTGTCTCAAATCTATCTCCCTTTGATTGCTGAACCCAAACACATTGCGCAGATAGGTTACTGCCAATATAGAAGTATTAAATATATGCATTTTCCATTGTGTACAAGGTGTTGTGAATTAACAGTTTATTAATGGTGTTTATTTCCTTTGACATACTTATGTAATTTTTAGATGCTTCCACATTGATTTGCTATCTCCATTATTAACTGTTATTTTATGCTCCAAGTATTCAACCTTTTTAACCTTTATAATCCTCTTGTATCTACATTTGATTGTATTATAGTCACTCCAGGCCCCTGTTTCTAATGCTATCCTGTAAAGATTATACTTTTGTTTATTAAGGTTTGCTAATTCATTATCGTACCATTTGTTCATGAGCTTAAGCCTTATTTCTTAAGTGTACGTTAGAGTGCCCATTGAATACGACAAGACATTAGTTAAAAATTTTGATTTATCATCGATGCTTAATTTCGAAAAATCCCTGTAATTGTATTGCCTCAGTTGGTGAAGAAGATTATCACTTTTGTAATTATCCCAAGATATAATAAATTTGTTTGCTCTCATTTTATAGATTTTCTCCAACTCGATCTTGAGATCCGATGCACATCCATTCTTTGACACGAAATGTTTTTGCTATTGGTAAATAATAAATCAATCATTGTTTCGACCTCTTCCGATTTCCTAGTATAAAAATAAATTTTCTGAACCATTGAGAAGGACTGAAATAACTCTACCAATTTTTTACTGTACGTTGTAGCTTTATATAGATTTATATTGAAGTCTCAAATAAATACAGTATTCTCATCTAGGCAAGTATTGTTTAAAATTTCACTGAGGTAGCTGATAAAGTCAGCATCGCTAGAATTTGGCGAGTGATATATTACCCCTATTTGGTATTTCGGGGTAACATTTCCAATTTTTAAAAGAAGACACCAAATATTCTTATCCCACGAGTAATTAACGAGAGTTCCATATTTAATTGAGTGACGGACGTAAATTAAAACACCGCCTGTGTGTCTCCTATTCGAGTTGCATCTAATTAGGGTGTAGGATTCTACCTGTATTTCGTGGTTTGCAATGTCTTCGGTCAAACAGGTTTCTGAACATACCACCAAATGGGGCTTACAAATTTCTATTAGTTTCTCAAGTTCACACTTATAAGCTGTAATACTGTTTATGTTTAAATAAATGATATTCATTTCATGAATACTTCGATGCTAAACTTTAGTTTTGCTTTTGGCTTAAATGTTGAAGCTTTCTTCTCTTCGCGTTCTATTTTCGTATACTTTCAGTACTTTCAACTCCTTTCCCAAGAACTCATCATTTTGCTTGGTAAGACATTCTATTATGCGATCGTTATTTATTTCTTCGGTTAACCCAACTATTTTCAGTATCTTTTTTATTTCATCTTTTCCTTTAGCTTTCTGGGCCTGGAACTCCGTACCAATACTATCTCTTATTTTTTGATGCACTTTTTCGCAAGTATCTTTATTTTTACATTCTAAAACTATTCCCCCTCTATTAATTTCTTTCACAGTCTTAACAAGACCGTCGGTGGGTTCGATTACCTTTTTCAGCGCCTTTTTTGTTTCCTTAACGTTTTTGTTTTTGTTTAAGGGCTTTATAAAAATTTTATTTTCATTTGTTTTGACAGCTTGGGCATATGATATTGGGGCATTTTCCTTACTAATTACTGGCTGAATGTTTTTTACCAAGTCATTACAATTTTGCAGTTCACTAGAAATTTCCGTAATGATTTCATTTTTCATAGCATTAATTCTCACTCCAATGTTATGTCCCAGAAATGTATTTAAGTCTGAAGCAATACTCGTTTTTATTTGCGTACATTTGTTGTTAATCAGTTGCTCCAAAACATCAGCCGCCTTTAACTTAGATTGCTCACATTTACTTATTAAATGTTTGATTTCGATAAATTTCGTATTCGTATCAGATAAAGTACACTGATTACAAAACCATTTCAAATTAATATTTTCCGTGATTATTTTAATTTCATTCCTTTTAATATTGCTACATTTTAGACAGAAATTATAGCCACACCCACCAGAGCATGTTATCATTTCGTCTAATTGAAACAATTTGGCAATATCCCTGCAGTGAAAAGCCAAACCAGTTAGAAAAAATACTAGTTCATTAAGTAGTATGTGCCTACCAGTTCGACAATTTCGAAGAACTTAGGCGATCAGCGACATCTGCCTTTGAATTGCCAAAGCCAAAAATAAAACGCAATTATAATTGCTTTTCTTACAAATGTCGGCTGTGGCGTCACGTGAAGACTACTGGTTCTAGTTCTGAAATTGCAGGTTCGAGGCCGCTTGGAGGTGGTTAAGATTTTTAAAGTTAAATAAATGTAAGTAAAAATAATTTATTCAATTTATAAATAAAT